AGGCTGGAAATAGTCTACATTATTTCTTAAGCTACAAATTCCTATTTGACTCCACTAAAATGGATAAGTACTGTATACATAGTCAAAATAGTGAGTTGTAGCTTGAGAAAATGGTTTGTTATGAATTTCACGCAAAGCTACTTTGAGAAAACAAGAGTCCCTAGTTGTGGGCTTGAAAATATAACCTTTGCATTTTGATTCAAATTGTTTCTGTACTTTTTTGACGATCCTTATTTCCCTTTTAAAATTAACAGTTTTTAATTATCGTGTAGATACGAAAAACTATAATGTTGGTGGTGCAATCACATAATGTCACCCCTCTCCTTGCAACCCACCCTCTGATGATGGGGATATAATCATATGATTATCACTATTCTTAGCAACCCGCCCACTGGTGATGATGACGTAATTATATGATGTCACCCCTTCTTTAGCAATGCATCACTAGCAATGTGCCCTCTGGTGTTCATGACGTAATCATATGATGTCATCCTTCTCCTAGCAACTCGCCCTCTGGTGTTGATAACATACTCCCTCCTTCCCCAACTTCTGCTTGTTTCATCTAACTACTTCTGTAAGGTTCTGGAGCCAGTGAATTGACTAAATCGGCAAAACAAGTTAAGTTAACCCATATTATTCACTCTTTAACATCAACTTCGTAAAAATCCTGGTGTCACTGTATTCATTGAGTCAGTGAACGGAGGATAAGTTAATCTATATTATAATAGTACAGTTAAACTTTGTAACTGTATGTTACTATTTAACATTACTTCCATAGGTCCTGACCAAATCAGTAAAACAGGATGCGATTTCTGCTTAGCAACAGTAGGGTGTAATGTTTCATATCCATGTAAACAATTAGAATTAACTCTGTTAGAGCATTGAGCTAATGCATTCAGAAATCAGTAAAATATTATTGACATTATTTTGCTTGTCGGAATACAGCATAGATTATTTCAGAAAATAACTGAATAAAATATTAGATTTTATCGATATTTTAAACACTTGCACAACCACACGAGCATGGTTTGCAGTGGTTTACAATAAAGTTAATTAATTCACTATCATCGGGCGGTAGCAAATGGAAATCCATAAATAAAGAGACCCCCATTACTTGAATGTTCATTGAAGCTCTTTGGGGTATTGGATAAACACTTACAATTGTACCACAGGTGTTAAAAATTGATTAGTTTGATACTACAACGCGCTAGGAGCACCAATCATGGACTAAAACCAATACATCTGCTGTGGTTGGCTCGTAATAAGTACACGATATTAAACATTCGATTACTTTTACAGTCGTCAGGCAGGAGCAGTCATTAAAACCAAAACTCTACTTTGTCTACACTTCCTAAAATACTCTTGAAATATACATATGAGTATTCACCTTGAGTTTCACAAGAACTGCGATTAACACTGTATTAACAAAATCGGTGAAACAATGTGTTTCACCATAGAGGTCATTACAGCAGCACGTTGTAATTGTAGGTATAAATGTTTGAGTTCCTCAAGAACCTTGATTCACTGTATTAACAAAATCAGTGAAACAGTAGTGTCTCCATAACAACAATACAGCAGCACGTTGTAACTGAATGCGAGTGTTTATCATACCAAGAACAGAAATTTCAGAACGAATTCAATAAGTATGTGACTGTTAATTTGAGAGCTTTTATTGTAGTTTAGAAGTATTATTTTTGAAAAATGTCGTTCACACAAAACAAGTTGAATACAAGTATACAATGGCAGCAAAAACCTGCTGCTAATTTAACCTTTGCTTGACTTAATTGGATCATAATGGCTGGAGACGGCTTGAATGGGTAATGAAGAAAAACTTTAATATAACAGCAAATGTACCTGATGATGATAAAA